CTGGACACCGCCCAGCAGTCCCAGCCCGGGGCGCGCTCCCCCACCCTGCGGCCCTGCTCACCATAGACGTGGAAGCCCAGCACGCAGGTGTAGGTGGCCCACTCCCGGTCCCGGCTCTCATAGCGATTCCTCAGCAGCTTGCAGCCTTCGCCCACGTTCCCTGGGGAGAGGGCGCCCACCCAGCTCAGCCCTCACCCGGCCCGCAGAGGGGAAGCGGCTGGGAGGCCAGGTTGGAAAGACTGACACGCGAGGCCGTGGCACGTGATCTGGTCACCACAGCAGCCCTCGGCCCCGGGCAAACCCAGCCCCGAGCTGCCTGAGCGCTCCCAAGGCTTCTCCCAGTTCCTCCTCCCGGGGCACCGCAGTCCCGCCACACCTGCCCTGCGGAACTTGTCCGAAACAACCTTTTCTTAGCATATTTTTCAACTCCCTCAAATCCTTGTGGGGAAAAGATAGTATAAAACTGCGTGTGTTTTTTCCAAATCAGTTACTCCTCTGTGTATAATCCCGACTCCAACCCCATCTCCACGTCCCCATCTGACAGCCCCTCCTCCTGGAGCCCCCCACATATCCTTCCCCCCCCCCCCACAACCAGGAGCCTTCACACACACACAGAGCCCACCCCAAGGACCCTCTCCCCATGCCCACCCCATTGCCACTCACAGTAAAGGATCTCATAGTCCCCAGAATTGGACATGATGAAGTTCCCGTCCTTGGACCAGTCAAGGTGAGTAATAAAGCTGGAGTGACCCTGGGAGCAAGGGTCAAGAGACTAAAAATGGAGCCCCCGTTGCCGTCCCCTAGCCCCCCTACGTGCCCTGGGCCCTTTGAGGAGTTTCCCTGCTCTGGCGATGCCCCACCCGCCACCCCAGCTTTCTCACCACACAGCGGCCAAAGCGGCTGGACTTGGCACCATCACTGGAAACACTATAGATGTAGATCATGTTGTCATGGGAACCAATGGCCAGGTGTAACCCATCTACAAAGACAGTCACTCAGACAGGGAAGGGCCAGGGACGGGTCTGGGTCCGGGGCGGGGGTGGCTCCCACCTGGGCTGTACCGAACCACTGAGAGCTGCTCATTGCCATCGGTGACGTCAGACACGATCTCTCTGGTCTCCGTATCCAAAACCAGCCACCTGGAGGGGGGTCGGGAAGCAGGTGTGAGGATACCCATCCCGGGCAGCACGCTGACACGTCGGAGAGACTCCAAGACACCCAGAGGAAAGCTGAGGCAGGCAGAAAGGCCCCACTACGTTCTCTTTTTTTCCTTTTTAATCCTCACCAGAGGATATTTTCCCATTGTGAGGCAGGCAGAAAGGCCCTACTGCGTTCTTTTTCCCTTTTTTTTTCTTTTTAATCCTCACCAGAGGATATTTTCCCATTGGTTTTCAGAGAGTGGAAGGGAAGGAGGTGGGGGGAAGAAACAATGTGAGAGAGACACATTGATCGGATGCCTCCTGAATGGACCAAAACAGGATGGGGCCGGGGATCGAACCTGCAACCCAAATACATGCCCTTGACTAGGAATCGAACCCATGGCGGTGCTCTAACCACTTAGCAGCACCAGCCAGGGCCCCACTGCATTCTTACACTGGGAAATGGGAAGGGGCCATGGGCAGACGAACCCACGGCCCTTAGGTGCACAGGCGATGCTCTAACCACTGAGCCGCGCCGGCCAGGGCCCCACTGCATTCTTACACTGGGAAATGGGAAGGGGCCATGGGCAGATAAGAGCTGAGGGGCTTCTGATGTCGTGGGAGAAAGGAAAAGGGCTGGACTGCAAGGGCCTTGGGGAATCTGTAGGCCCGTCACTCTTCGCCTCCCCTCTGCCCTCCCATCTCCGCAGCTTCCCTCTGCTGAGCTGCCACCTCCTCCATCCCGGGCTGGAGGGGAAAGTGGGAAAGTGGTCGGGGGAGGGCGAGATGGCAGTTGCCACCGGAGACGGGAGGCCCAGGCTGCAGGGAGAAGCACCGCGGAACAGGAAGGTGCAGTTGGGGCCTGGAGCAGCCAGTGGTCACGCTGCTTCACACACACACACACACACACACACACACACACACACGCCATCACCGGGAACCCTCCCTACACCCCCTGCTTCCCCCGGGCTCCCTCTCACCTCCCCGTGTTCAGTCCCACAGCCACCACCGCCCCGCTGGGGTGGAAGTCAGCACAGAGGCCCGTCTCCTGGGAGGGAGAAAAGGTGAATTCAAGATGCCTTTCTAGTGAGGGATCCAAGACAGACGCCTTGTCATGCCAAGGAGGGGCAGGAAGGACAGGGGCGGTGGACCTGGAGTGCAGGCGGGTGTGTGCAGGCAGAGCCTAAACGAGGTGATATTCAAAATACTGAACCACCAGAACTGGGACCTGGGTCGGAGAGTAACCGTCAGTTGCTAAAAGGGGGGGTACTGGAGGCATCAGCACGGAAGAAGGAACATTTAGTAGCCATACCAGTACAAACCAGCTGCCTCCGGGGAGCAGAAGGAAAGGGGATACTGAGGAAGGCGTGGGGGCCACAGGCGTCGTGGCAGGGGTGGCACTGGGGCCCCGGGGACCCGGGCTCTACCTTGAGGTCGATGCTCCAGGCCAGCGCGTGGCCCTCCCCATCCCACAGGCAGAGCTGCCTGTCATGGCCGCAGGTGAGGAAGCGGTTCTGGAAGGGGTGTGTGCACAGCCCCCAGAGCTCGTCCGTGTGGCCCTGCAGCAGAGCACGCGCCATCACCTCTGCCCTCCCAGCAGCTCT